ATATGGATACGTTCCGCTTAGTGACAAGATTGAGACACCTTCGCCCCCAGACACTTACGGAGCCCACCGAATGCAACCTTTGCTTTGGAAATGTGGTTGTTGATTTCATTTCTTTTTGTTACTGACTAGGTTATTCCAAAAAAATTTGTGTTTTTCCACTGCTTGGATATTATACCCTTTACTGATATGTTAGGTTCTTTGTAAGCTTTTCCTGGGGCTGATTTGTGTTACTTTCGTATTGATGGTTTAGCGACAATCCTTTCTCTTGTATATGCGTATCATCTATGCATTCTTGATTGGCTAAGGACATTGCTATCTTTCTAAATAGCTCTATCAGTATTTGTGTCAGCACCAGGCCTCCTGCTTCGTTGATTTTGACAGGACTTGTCCCGGGATTGATCTGCGGAGAGATGCTATATTGTCTAGTCTATTTCTTGGATGATCTCCACCTTAGGTAAACAAGCAATGGCATTGTTATCATTTGTTGTAGACAAACAGTTAAGAACTTGACACAAGTAGCTTGGCACAAGTGTTCGACCCATCTTTCTAAAATCTGACTCTTGATGTCAGTAGCTGAGTTCCATCTTGTTAAGGATGGGCAAGCCATTAATATGTCCATTGTCTACTTTTATGGCATCGTATAAAAGTTTAGTATCGTGTCTACGGCATAGACCTGAATTTTACAAACATGGGTCCTGCATTTCACGAAGTTTGTTTAACACGTTCTGTTTTATTTTGCTGAGAGCGTCTTTCTCTGCCTGTGACGTAAGGTTGTTTTGATAACATGTCAGCACATAATGTTTTTTGTTTAGGAGTGACTATATCTCATCATTTTCATCACACGAAGCTTTCTTTATAAGGGTTGTTGGTCAGAGGTTTCTAAAGTAGTGGAGTAGTTAGTATCTCTCAATTTTAACAATTTGGAATCAATATTTTTTATTATTCCTCCCTGGGATTGTCCCTCAGCTTGCGTTCAAGTTCAGTGAAAGATTCTCAGCTATGTTTTTACATTTAAGCTTGTGGAAATTAAGCTTTATTTTAAATATCTGGCCCTGAAATTTATATTTGGTTGTTTTAAGTTGATTGTCAGTTCTGCATTCAGCGCCACACATAGCTTTAGTTATTATATATAAACGCCTAAATACAATAGTAAAAATCCCACTCTGAATTCCCATGTGCATGTCGTAATAAATTTTATTATTGTCTTTGCATAATTAAATATTAACACAAAGAAATTTATTTTTTACATTTTGCAAGTTGGTGTGAAGGGTAAAAACTGAGTCCAAAAATATGCATTTTAACAAGAAAATAATTTACAAAAATAATTTTTTAGGAAAACACTTTTTCAAAAACTAAACATTATAAAATAAATGTCCAAAATCATTCAGGTTTGTTACAATAGCGTGGGGCACCCAAGAAATACAATGATGTCATACAATGTGACACGTGTATATGTTTGCATTGCTTCAAGTAAGTGTTATGAAAAATTTGTGATTATTGGTCATGGACATATGAAATCTTTCAACTGTCTTGCCCTACTGTTGTATGCTCCCATTGATCCGTGATATTGACAAGTGGAATGAAATTAGCGATACCACTGCGTGCATGTCTTTGCGGTTTGAAGAACATTGAGTTGTAACTGAAACTACTTAAAAAAAAAAAAGCATTTTAAATACACAGAATCTGCGGCTCGTATCTCTTACTTTAAAATAATTCTAATATTTTAAAGCTTATTTCTGTGTAAGTTAGTAGAAGATTTTTAAATATATGTAGCTAAGTAAAAATGAATTTATTGGGCTAAAATATTTTCTAGCTAAGCATATTTATTTCATTTTCAACTATTGCCATGGCTGCTAAATGTTCCCCGAAACATATAAAATTGTTAATATTTCAAGAATAAATGAAGTAAAAAGAAAACTTTTTAAATTTTGTTTTTGGAACAAGTTTATTTAATTGCGATTCAGTTAAATTTAAGAATTCTATTTCTTTAATTTAAGGATAGCTTAGAAAAATGATGATCACTTGAGAAGTGTAGAGAAATCTTAATAACAAAGAGGCAGTTAAGTTGACTTATGTGGCTATGTTATCGGAGCAAAGGTCTAAACTGCTAGCTAAAGTAGAAAAACTGTTGTTAATTTGGATCAATGAAAGCCGCTGCCTTTAGTCTATATATAGCGTTAGTGAGACAGTATATTGTGAAAAGGTAAGTCAGTTGAAAAGTGGTTTGTTGGTCAAAACACTGAGTACAAGTTTCGAAGCTGAAGATAATTATGGGTTTTTAAATAGATGTACTCGAAAAAAATGGAATTTTAGTGTTTTAAGACATTGAGAGTAGAGACCGAACGAATTTCGGCGTCGGCTTCGGTTTCGGCGCCGAAAGAGGCAATTTTATCACTTTCGGCCAAGTTTAAGTTTCGGCCAAAACTGAAAAGTTAACTTTCGGCTTAATTTCGGTTTCGGCCGAAGAGAAAAGTTAACTTTCGGTTTTTCTTCGGTTTGGGCCGAAATTGACTTAGAATTTCGGCCATCTGGCCGAAAGTGAATCAGGTTTTCAGTCATTTTAATACTCAGTGAAAGTGATAGTTAACAACAACTAAGCCACATTTAAGAACAAATTAAGCGATCTTTGAGAACAAACTAAGCGATATTTAACAACAAACTAAGCGATCTTTAAAGAACAAGCTAAGCGATCTTTAATAAAAAAAAACTGAGCGCTCTAAAAGAACAAACTAAACGATTTTTAAGACCGAACTAAATGATCTTTAAGAACAAAACAAATGATCTTTACTACTATTTATTACTACAATTATTACTAAATGATTTATAAGAATAAACTAAGCGATCTTTAACAGAAAACTAAATGTTCTTTAGGAACAAACTAAAAGATCTTTAAGAACAAACTAATCCATCTTAAGGAACAAAATTAATTATCTTTAAGAACAAACTAAGCGATCTTTATGAAAAACCTAAGCGATCTTTACAACAAACTAAGCAATCTCTAAGAACAAACTAAGCGATCTTTATGAAAAACTAAGCGATCTTTACAACAAACTAAGCGATCTTTAACAAAAAACTAAACGATCTTTAACAACAAACTAAACGATCTTAAACAACAAACTAACCGATCAATAACAACCAACTAAACGATCTTTAAAAACAAATTAAGCGATCTTTTAGAACCACATTTTTTAGAGCCCCTGTTTAAAAAATATATATATTTTGCATTAATTTCCCCTCCTCCCCCCCCCACCCCCCCCCCCCCCCCAATTTTCTCCTCCCTCCTTAATTTTTAAAAAAAATTTTAAAGCATTTTCTTAAATTTAACGCGCATTTGTTTTATATGTTGGTATATTTATTTACAGTATAATGTGTGAACCAAACATAATCATTAATAAATCTGCTTGAAATATATTTTTCTCATTTTAATTAAATGTATTATTAGCCCGAAAGAGACAGTCTGAGTGTGTGTATGGGAGGGGGGGGGG